CCCGGGAGCCCCTTTCTCTTGGCCAGGAGCAGTGGGACAGTAGGTGGCCCAAAAGCCCTTTCCTCTGGGCTGGGAGCAGCGGGAGGGATGGTGACTGGGAAGCCCCTTCCTCTGGACCAGGAGCAGTGAGAAGCAGTGAGAAGGCAGCTCAGAAGCCCCTACCTCTGGGGTGGGAACAGCGGGACTCAGTACCATGGTCTGGTGGTCTGGTGGTCTGGTGTCCTCTGCGTCTTTGTAGTGTGGAACCAGGTGGCTGCCTGTTTGCAGTGGGGTGATTTGGTGTCTTCCACGCAACTCAGGACCTTGGTAGGGCATGCACAGACCTGCCTGTCTCCAGCTGGGTGATTCCACGTGTTCCGCTCGACTGGGGACCTTGGTAGGGCGTGCACAGATCTGCCTGTCTGCAGCGGGCTCACTCATTCTTTTTTGTCACAGTAAACATACAAACATATAAAACATGCTTCTATTTCATAAAGTAGCTACCTAGCTCATAGCCCCATGCAGGGCAATTTACCAACAGGATCTCTTTTCATCCCCACTGATGCCCTGAAAAATGAGTTTACAGCATTATCATTCTGTGGCAGTTCCTACGAGAGAGACTGTCTGCATCAGGGATGTGAAGGGGCTTACCCAGGTTATCTGAGCTCAAATTGACTGACTGATGATTGAAAACTAAGTTTATCTGCCCCAGAGCCAGTTTCTTTTGCAGAGTATACTAGGCAATGACTGTGTTCAATTTAGAAAGTGTATTGTGTACCTGCTGTGTGCCTTGGTGAAAGTAAGGACCATGTTTTTTGCCCAGTGTCATTCACATAGGAGGACCTCAGTATGTCTTTATTCACTGAGTGAACAAAGATGTAGATGACTGTCATTTAAACCAATTGTGCCATTTAAAATTAATCTTGCCCTATTTTTGGATTGATTTTAGGACAGTTAAAATCCCAGATTCAGCTGATGGGCTTGGATTTCAAATCAGAGGGTTTGGCCCTTCTGTTGTGCATGCAGTAGGAAGAGGTAAGAAATTTATCTTACATAGTAAACAGCTTTCCAGCATATTTTGGATATACTTTACAGAACAGGAATATCTTTAAAATATACATAATCATGTTATGAATGTCTTATTCATATTATTTCCACTGTGCTAAGGCAAGGATAGTATATTCTGGAAGCAGTATTTATAAAGTTCTTAAAGATTCTAAGACATATTTATGACTGTTAAAATTTTATAAAAGAATGATACCTCAGTTTCATTATTGTCTATGCTTCAGTTTAGCCAAAGGATATAGTTATTTTAAGGTGGTCTCTTTGTATTTTTCTTAACAGTAAATAATTGTATTGGGGGATCAGCAATTCAAAGATGTGAGTTTTTGATTACTACATAATTCCTCCAAGTGTTCTAATGAAGCATCAATAAATTTTACTGTAAAATTTGCTTGTTTGTTTTATTGACTAAAACCTGTTTATATTGAATTATCTTTTTGTTTGAAAGGCAGATCAGCTATTGACATCTCTTGATACATGTATTTTTGTTTTATACTGGCACTGGTAATGATTGAAAAGAATAACAAACCACATATTGTTAATTGTAGTAAATAACTGGTGGCTATAGCAAGAAAAGTGTATTAGAATAACCTATGTATTTATGAAACTAGAAATCACTAAAAAATGTGAAGACTTACTATAATCATTCAGGCATTAGGAAAATTTTGAGAAGGTGTTGCTATCATAATCAAAATTATAAAGAATATACTAGACCTTTATTAATTGTAAAATTATTGTTTATATGTATGATAAAAATGAATCTTTAGAAAATTGTCTTTTCAGTCAAAGTTGCCCAGAGTACAGAAAGATAGATGTTTAAACCTTGGAAGTAACTCATTAAATATTATAAAACAGAAACGGAATATTATGACATCAAATACCTTCTTCATTTTCACTAAGACAAAAAAGGCACACTTTCCATCATCAGTGTTATAAAGTAACTGAAAACCTGAGTGAATCAAGTTGTACCTGTTCCCCTGTTATGAAATCATCTGAAAAGCAAGGTTCTGTGTTTGGAATTTAGTGAAGTAGTTGGTCTAAGTCTGGTTGCTGTGCTTTTTTACTTCTGAAGGGTAAGAAACAAAAATATGCCTGTGCTTGTCCTCTCAGATGTATATTAAATGAAATGATGTTTTCCAGTGGGGTTTTTTCCGCACTAAAATAAGAAAAAGAGATTTCTTTCAGCCTTACTCCCATGGTGGATCTCTGCCATCACTCTTACCAGCATCACTGGGATCCTTTCACCTTCATCCCTAGCTGCTTGCAGGCTGCTGGATTTCATCCCTGGACCAACCTAACCACCTCCTTTGCTCTTCTTCCTTCTTTGCTCTTCCTCCTGGCTAGAATAAGCTTGTCTGGTTATGGAATGAGTATCTCCTGATTCACTCTCTTGTCTTTTACTAGGCTCCTGTTGTTACTCAGCAATCTTTTCATGTGCCCCTGATCAGCTAGCTCTTTCTTCTCAAACTTGCCTTCTGTCTCTCAAGATAGACCCCCTTTTTCCTATCTCCCAGACAAACTCTCTCAGACATGAGTTTCTCAGAGTCTTCTATGCATGGTAAGGTCCAGACTCTAAGGACTTCACACGAAGCACACAAGGACTCCTCCTTGAGGCTCTGCTCAGCTCTCCTGTCTCTTTCATATCTCTCTCCCCAATTCTGAAGTCAAACCAGCAGAATTGCTTGTATGTTCCCAAACAGCCAGGTGATTTCCTGACTTAGTGCCTTTTTTCAGGCTGTTCTCTCTGCTGAGATTCTCCCTCCCTCCCTTCCTCCCTCCCTCCCTCCTCCCCTCCCTCAGGTCTCAGTTGAATGCAGAAAAAAATAGTTGATATATCTGGGAGTGAATTTTAGTGAGGATTAAGAAGAAAAGAAAAAGTATATTCTTAAAAATAATTTTTCTTAAAAGATGTTTAATAATTTCTTTATGGGAGAAATTGCTTACAAAGGCAATATTTTCTAACATATTTAGAATGTTTTGGCATTTATATGAATTTTATTTATTGATAGTTCTTTGTTAATGTTGACTTGCTCAGACTATCTAATAGCAATGATTGGAAGGTTGATACAAATCTTAGCTCACTGGTTAGGATATGCCACCTCTGTATTGAAAACTGTACCTACCAAACAAAAAGACCAGACACTGGTATTATCTGTTTAATTGTGTTCACCCTAAATTCTCTGGTTCTTAAACTTTTATTTTTCTTAAAACATCCAGTCTACTTGTAGTTGTAAATTGACCATATTGTTTTTATTAAATTTCTTTTTGTGTGTGCATATATGTTTTTGGCATTAAAAAAGTAAAAACCATTTTAATATTTAGGAGCTTTGTAAAGAGAGATAAGGCATCTTTCTAGCTTCACATTTTTTATTATATATGTATATTTAGAAAATTAGATTGCTGAGAAATTTAAAAAGGAAAATAACTAATTAACATTTTAAAGGTCACTTGCAATATTCCATCAAAGTAATTCTTAGGGAGGCAGGAAAATATTCTGTTAATCATAGCTTGAATGGTGAATTGAGAAAGCCAGAAAAAGTTGAGAGGGCAGTGCTAGCAGAACCAACTTTATCAGGAACATACTAACTAGATCTTTATTGTGTTTTTAAATTGCTTCCATTTTTCTGTATATGATAAAGATGAATCTTATCTTGAAATTCTGTTTTGGCAATTTTCCCATTTGTGTTTAAAGGCACTGTGGCTGCAGCAGCTGGCCTTCAACCTGGACAGTGTATTATCAAAGTAAATGGCATCAATGTCAGCAAAGAGTCACATGCCAGTGTCATCGCACACGTGACAGCCTGCAGGAAGTACAAGCGTCCAATGAAGGTAAACTGAAAACTTGCTTAGAAGGTCTAGGGGACAGGATGAGGTAGCACCAGAGATGTTGGCAGTTTCCAGTTCTAAGTTCAAATTTAAGCACAGCATTGTAAATCTCATAATGACTTCTACCTGCATAATTAATTAGAACTGTGTTTAAATGGTTGCATTTTATTGTTTCAATATTATTACTTGTTTAAAAAGTGCTCTAGGGTATTTTCCTATTCACTTTGATAAGAGTTTATCACATTGCCACACTTGGGCACACTCCTGTAAGCTTGTAATCCCAGCATTTAGGAAGCCAAGGCAAGAGGATTGCTGTAAGTTTGAGGCCAGCCTGGGCTACATAGTGAGTTTAAGGCCAACTGAAAGTACATAGTGAGGCCTTGTCTCAAAAAAAAATTATCAAATTGAAATCCAAAGGTTTGAGCTGTTTCTTTAGAATGTATAATGATCATTGTGTATCCGTCTGAATATACGAGTTATAAATACACTTCATTACAAGATTTGTGTGAAAAAGTAAAAACTGTGAGTTTTATAGTTTGTGTTTTTTGTATATATTTATTTAGGTAATTGGACTTAGCTTTTAACAGAAGATATGAAAATGTACTTGCCAGTATTTAAAATTTTAAGCATTATCCTTTGATGCCTAAGTGCAACAGAAAGATAAAATTGGAAACATGATTTATAAGCAGGTTTTATTATCTCATGATAAAAAGTGAAAAATGAACTGCAACAGAAATTTCTTTCAATGTAATCATCTAGATGCAGAAGGGATTTTTTTTTTTGGTACCAGTGATCGAACTTGGGTCCTTGCGCTTGCGCAGCAGGCTGCGAAACCACTGAGCTAAATCCCCAGCCCCCAGAAAGGATTTTAAAGGCGAGACTTTGTATTTTTTTTTGTCATGAATGGGAAATACTCTTCTGGATTTGAGAATATGACTTTGTTTCCAAACCAGGAAGAAAAATGGCTGTTTCATCATAGTCCTGATGTCCTGCAAAATAGTGAACTTACATGGAAATTACTTATTAATTCTGCTTTCTAATAAGATCAAAACTAGCATAGCAAATTGGAACTTATACAAAGAGTTTAGGTTTCACTGATTGATAGTAGCTCAATAAATATTTGTCGAACTACCTGATTGAATGCACTTTTCAGAAGACTCATCTGAAATTATCAAAGGTTTTTCCTTTCACCAGAATTTTAATAAGGATCCAAACTGAAATATTTGCATTGTTTTCTTTGTCACTCTTCTTGACTGCCTCTGGGAGAGATGTTGATCAGTGAGATGATTGAAAAGAGCAATAAAGTAGATAGAACATGCTCTCTGAGGTTTCTATTACAACAAAACAGACTGCCCCAAATCTTGGTGGCCTAAAATAGCAGCGATTATCTGTTTCTATTTGACTGTGTGGTGATTCCCATGAAGTTACTGCTGTGGCTTTTTCTGGAGCTGCCTGAGTACCTGGTTCCTCTCCTCATAGAATCCTACTTTATATGTTGGGATGCCTTCAGAAATCCTGTACATGGCTTCCCCTTAGAGACTCCATCAGAATTTCCCTTTCTGCACGGTGTCTGGATTTCAGGAGGGAATATTACAAGCAAATAATCCCTCTACTTGGAAGGTACTTATGAGTGTTCCTTTGGAAAAATTGAGTCACAATGCCAGGCCCACGGTAGTGTGGGAAAGAAAAACTGAAGCTGTGGATACTTTGGATATGGCACATTGGTGGCCACAACAGTGATTAGATTAGCAAGCATTTTTTGTTTATTTTGTTTCTTTTTGGTGCTAAGGATAGAATCAAAGGCCTTGTGCATACTAAGCACATACTCTACCACCAAGCTACATTACACTCTGAACTTCTTAACTATTACTTAATAATTTATAGCAATATAACAAACAATTGTGAAGCTGATGCAAGAGAAAAAGTGGATACTACATATTGAGCCACATTTCAGTGACACAGTTTGATTTGATTTATCATCTTCTCTGGGAAAACTATAAACCTTAAAGTAATGCAGTCCTTGAGGCATTTATTTGGTAGCCATTTCATCTCTGTTCATTCTCCAAATAAGATTGGAACTGCTGTTTCAATTAAAATATAGAATTATTCATGACATAGAAGAATTAAAAGATAGTTACATGACTTGGAAGCAAGTGAAATAAAAGTGGTTTTTGTAGTGTTCGTATTGGTTTATTTCAAAACAGCATTAAATGTATTAAAATATATGTGATTATTAGGAGACTAAGTGATTTGTACAATGACAGATAATTGATTCATCAAAAAGTTTTCCATTCAATTTTTGCTTATTTAAGGTGTAATTTATATCATTTTATGATATACTTGAGACATTTATATAAGGCAGTTCTTTGGAACACATCTTTGGAAAATAAATTTACATAAAAAGAAATTTAAGCTTGAAAAATGTCATTTTATTAAATTGCCTTTGAATTTCCATTCCTATGTTGGTGTTTTTTCTCTTTTAAATTTTAGTAATTTTACACAAGTTAGGAATAAATGAGATGATCAACTCTTCTTCTAAAGCAGGTTTTATGAAGTGGATGTTCACTTTAGGAAGCACTGATTCTTCTGAGGTTTCTTTCCCCTTCATTTCCAGCAAGATTCCATACAGTGGGTTTATGACAGCATTGAGAGTGCTCAAGAGGATCTCCAAAAGTCTAACTCCAAAGCCCCTGGAGAGGAAGCAGGGGATGCTTTTGACTGCAAAGTAGAAGGTATGTGGCTTTTTTTCTTCTCACTTGCTGGTTGTTTCATTTTCTTCTCTGCCTGTGTCTACTCTCAAATCTTAATGATCTTATATGTTTAAGCTTTATCTTTCAATCTTAAGTCTTTGTCACCAAATAGGTGCCATGCCAAATATATAAGTAGCAGTTTCTAGTAGCTAACATGAAATAGCTAGATCCTGTTTAGTAGGTAAATTTTAAGTGGTTTACGTGAAATTTTTATTTAGTCATCAAAACAAAAAACTTCATCAAGTAGGTATGATCATCCCTATCCCTTTTATAAAGGAGAAGAAATTGAGGCTTACATAGTTCAAAGGCCTTCTTCAAACTACTTAAGTGGTAGAGTGGAGATTCAGACCCAAGTTATGTCCTGTTTCCCTGTTTGGAGTTAAAAGCTGCTTAGAGTTTGCATTTCCAGTGTGGTGCACAAACTGGCAGAAGCTGCACCACTGGGAGCATCACTGCACTTGATAACCATGCAGGAACTATGCCCCACTTGGAATTGCCAATCAGAATCACTATAGTGACAAGATCTGATTTAGATGCTCATTAAAATTTGAGAAGCCCTAGGTTACCTTTGCTGCCTTGTGTGTGCCGTGTAGTTTCTGCTCTGCCATGCCTGTTTGTTGTCCTTGCCTTGGAGTTGGCTGATTATGGACTGAAACCTCTGTGAACTCACCGAGGAGGTGAGCCTCTCAGGCTACCGTACCACTGGCCCAGAGTGCTGAGGAACAGAGACCCTCCCCAGTGCCAAGAAGATGAGTCTCTTTGGCCACCATACCACCACTCCAGAGTGCCAAGCAGAGCCTCCCCCCCCCAAGCGCCAAGGAGGTGAGCCACGTGGGTGCCAGCACCCCCCCCCATGGCTGTGCTGAGTCATTACCTGGATCCACACCTCAGAATTGCAGGGGTCATAAAAGACATTGTTCTAAGCTCGAGAAGATAGAGTAGAAGTGAACAACAGAAAGAGGGCCTCTTTGAGGCTCCTTGAAAATTAAAGCCCACCGGAAAAGTGAAGAAAATCTTGTCAATAAAGCCGTATCAGACCACCTTAGTTGGGGGAGCAGTGGTGTGGACCAGAGTGGCACGGCTGCAAGCGATCCCAGCTGGGGCTCCACCCCGACCCCAGAGGCTGGGGTACACTGGCACAAGCCAAGGGCCCTCCTGGAAAAGAGCTGCACAGGCACACAAGCAACAGCGAGAGGTTTGCCCCATACCATCAGTAAGTGCACGAGACCCTAGACAGAAGCTTGCTCATACAACAGAAACTGGGGGACACAGCCCCCAGCCAAAGATCCTCCCAGACAACAGCTACATAGGGGCCCTACCCAGAGGCACACCTAGCTACTATCCCAAGTGTGCACAGGCCCCAGCCGGAAGCCTGCCCAGACAACAGGTCAGCTCAGGGATCTAGAAGACCACCACTGTGAACCCAGGAATTGGTGTACTGGTGAGCAGCAGAGTAAAGGCTGCTTGGTGGTATGCTGAGAATTAAAGAACAATAGGTGAGCAAAAAGTTGCCTCAACAAAGGCACAGCAGGCTGCATCTGTTGAAATGAGAAGATACATAAATAAGTCTCAAAACCAGACTTCCAGATCACATAAGGCAACTGCAAAGGGATAGGAGATGGAACAAGCTGATACTCAACGACCTGGAATCCCTGAACTGGCTACAAAAAAGGATCTGGAAAAAATGAAATCAAAAATAATTTCTTAGATAACAGCAGAGATTGTGCTCATAGTGCAAGACATGATTAATAAATCTAGAGAGAACACAGATAAAAAAA